ATATATATACCTGGAGAGGGAAAAAGCCTTCCAGGACAGATATACATGCTACTTATTATTCAGCATGGCTTGGAGGAGCTTTTTCCAGCCAGCTCTCCAAGACTAATGGCTCTATTTTAGACAAATCCATTTGAAGTCAGTCTCTGACTGAGTACAACCATCAGAAGTAGCTATGCTAATCCCAGAGGAAACTGCTTCCTCCCTGCTTGGTATAGTTGAGGGAAAAAAGGCCAGCAAAGAATGCTCTCAGTGTTTACACTATAGTCATAGCAGTAAGCAAACTGACCAAAGGAAGAAGACAGAAGAATTCACTTTGGGTTCAATCTACAATGAACATCAGCATTTATTCAATATGGACCATGTTCAGGGCCTCAGTCATAAGGAAGCAAAAGACAAACACCAACTAGCAAACTGGGGGTCCAATTCCCTTAACAGTAATATTTCTTCTGGTAAATTAGTGCATTAACATTCAACTTTACACATCAATCTCTCTTCCTGTCCTGTTTTTTTAATGCCAGACAGCATGTGTGTACATCTGAAAAAGAGAGAAAGCACCCTCCAATAGGGGCCTGGGCATACCACAATCCTGTTTCCTCCAATCTTAGGCACGTGGGTGTGCACCCAGTGTGAAGTCAATGGGGCCGGGATTCCGACCTCTGTAGGCTTCATGAGAATGATCTGCTCAGCAGCAGGGGCCCTGCCTGTACATCATCTCTAGTGTTTTTGGTGTTCTAAGTCTCTGGAGCCTAATCACTTCTGTACTGTTACAGAACTTGTTTTTGGACCTGAAAGCTGATAAGGAGACTTTCATAAGTGGGAATCATTCCTTTGGAAATGATTGGCAGCATTTGCTCCAGAAGTAATCTGAAAGCAGAAAGAGGTCAGAGTCTTGTTAATAAAGGTTCCAAGATATTGTGAACCCAGTATCAGTCCACAGTGCTTCTGGGGAAGGTAATGAGTTGGCATATCTAAAGACCTAATGTGGAACTTCCAATTATTCTCTTTCTGGAACACATTCTCTCTCTGGGGTGAATCGGGGTGCTCATTAGTTTATAAGTGCAATTGCCATTGAATCAACCAAACAAAAACTTTCCATAATTCGGTTGTTCCTACTTTCTGGATTAAGGTCAAGATGTAGGATAGGGGGAACCAGCAGTTAGCGTAATGGCTATGTCGCTGGACTCCCACGTAGTCGAACGCGGTTCGTGTCTCAGACCCGGTGGCTTGAATCTCACGCCGGACGCGTGTGCATGCGAGCCCAAGATCCCGAGAGGAGAATGGAGGAGAAGGGATTGCGGCGTGACCATCCTCCCTGGGGGGGTGATTTCTCGCTTTCTGTCTCTATGTCTCTCTCTGTCTGTCTGGCGAGCGCACGCGCCCTATAGCGAAAATCTCCCCCCGCCCAAAAAAAAAGATTTAGGATAGGAAGAATAACCTCTATCATAAAAATGATTTCGACCCCCAAGAATGTTTTAAAGCCATGCACTGCAGTGAAAGTTTCTATGTTTAAGATATGAGATTGAAGGAGAATAAAACCAATCTTTCTTCTTTAGGGTTCCAAAGGAAAGCTGGTGAGTTTCCACTGCATTGCCATTTTCTCCCTAGTGTCAGATTAGCGTTAGGGAGCTCCTCCCCGATAGTCCTCAAATCCATGAAATAGAGTGTTGTATACGTAACCCCCGGACACACCAGTGCATCCGTATACGGAGGAGAAAGGGTGGGGGTGGAAGGGTGGAAGAGACGTCTCTAGTTTAAAGGGAATTTTGTTTTTATATGAAGGAGGGGCACTAGGCACCCGGCGCGTTGACTCCCAGTCCGGGGAACGCCCAGGCGGCACCAAGGAGAGGGAGAGTTTGAAAACTGAAACTCGCCCAGGGCGCACAGAGAACGCCCCGAGGCCCCGCCCTCCGCGCCGCGCCACGGTTATAGCCGATGACTCAGGGCGGAGCTCCGCATCCAACCCGCGGTCGCCGCCAACTTCTCTGGATGGGACCAGAAGTTTCTAGCCGGCCAGTTGCTACCTCCCTTTATCTCCTCCTTCCCGCTTGGCAGTGAGGGGGCTATTTCCAGACACTTCCACCCCTCTCCGGCCACGTCACCCCCTCCTTTAATTCATAAAGGTGCCCGGCGCCGGCTTCCCGGACACGTCGGCGGCACGCAAGGCTCTTGCTCCAGCGGCGGAGAGGTGCTCTCAGCTGCGGCCCAGCGAGCGACTCGGCGCCTCCAGGCCCGCGCCCCGCGCCCCCCGCCCGCCGGTC